TGTTATGTTACAGCCTTATTCTAAAATGTATAAAAAAAAATAAAAAAAATGCTCATCAATCTTCACACAATACCCCTTAATGAAAAAGCAAAAACTGGTTTTTAGAATTTTTTGCAAATGTATAAAAAAATAGTAATATCACATTTACACAATTATTCAGACCCTTTACTCAGTACTTTGTTGAAGCACCTTTGGCAACGATTACAGCCTTGAATCTTCTTGGGTATGACGCTACAAGCTTGGCACACCTGTATTTGGGGAGTTTCTCCCATTCTTCTCTGCAGATCCTCTCAAGCTCTGTCAGGTTGGATGGGGAGCGTCGCTGCAAAGCTATTTTCAGGTCTCTCCAGAGATGTTCGATCGGGTTCAAGTCCGGGCTATAGCTGGGCCACTCAAGGACATTCAGAGACTTCTCCTGAAGCCACTCCTGCGTTGTCTTGGCTGTGTACTTAGGGTCATTGTCCTGTTGTAAGGTGAACCTTCGCCCCAGTCTGAGGTCCTGAGCGCTTTGGAGCAGGTCTTCATCAACAATCTCTCTGTACTTTTCTCTGTTCATCTTCCCCTCGATCCTGACTAGTCTCCCAGTCCCTGCAGCTGAAAAACATCCCCACAACACCACCATGCTTCACCATAGGGATGGTGCCAGGTTTCCTCCAGACGAGACGCTTGGCATTCAGGCCAAAGATTTCAATCTGGGTTTCATCAGACCAGAACATCTTGTTTCTCATGGTCTGAAAGTCCTTCAGGTGCCTTTTGGCAAACTCCAAGCGGGCTGTCATGTGCCTTTTACTGAGGAGTGGCTTCCGTCTGGCCACTCTACCATAAAGGCCTGATTGGTGGAGTGATGCAGAGATGGTTGTCGTTCTGTAAGGTTCTCCCATCTCCACAGAGGAACTCTGGAGCTCTGTCAGAGTAACCCTCGGGTTCATGGTCACCTCCCTGACCAAGGCCCTCCTCCCCCGATTGCTCAGTTTGGCCAGGCGGCAAGCTCTAGGAAGAGTCTTGGTGGTTCCAAACTTCTTCCATTTAAGACCTTCAATGCTTCAGACATGTTTTGGTACCCTTCCTCACATCTGTGCCTCGACACAATCCTGTCTCAGAGCTCTACGGACAATTTCTTCGTCCTCATGGCTTGGTTTTTGCTCTGACATGCACTGTCAACTGTGGGACCTTATATAGACAGGTGTGTTTCTTTCCAAATCATGTCCAATCAATAGATTTTTACCACAGGTGGACTCCAATCAAGTTGTAGAAATATCTCAAAGATGATCAATGGAAACAGGATGCACCTGAGCTCAATTTTGAGTCTCTTAGCAAAGGGTCTGAATACTTATGCAACAATTTCTAAAAACCTGTTTTCATTTTGTCATTATGGGGTGTTGTGTGTAGATTGCAGAGTTTTTTAAAAATGTATTTAATCAATTTTAGAATAAGGCTGTAATGTAACAAAATGTGGAAAAAGTCAAGGGGTCTGAATACTTTCCGAAGGCACTGTATGTGCTCACTGGTTTGCCAACAATTCTACCGTTTGATTTCCATTTTCCCAGATGGTGTCTCATTTTGGTACCAAGACAAACTATTCCCAGCCCTTTAATCTAGCCAGGAAAAGTGAGCAGGATGTTTCAACTACTGTTAATTTACACTTGTGCTTTAAATCTTGTCTATTAAAATCTCATCTAGTTATTTATTCCCGATAAGACCTTTCTTATTGTTAATGTAGTTTTCAGACATAATCCATTGTGTAGATGGCAGACAGTGAAACTCCAGTTATGAGTCAGAGTCACATAGGAAACCTAGCTCATCTGTTTCACTGGCCCACAGGTGACCAGGTGAAATTGTACTGTACTTCTGATCCTATATTCTGTTAAAAATAGGTCTGTGGATCGTGTGACCTTATTTTAGATTTTCAGAAGCAGAAAATAGTGTTAGTCAATAAAAACAACCCCCTTGCCTTTGCCCCTTCCCTGCAGCCACTAAATCAATTGCCCCTTCCCTGCAGCCACTAAATCAATGGCTTCTCTTTTTACAATATTTGCCTTTCAAGTGCAGCACATACAGATATATACTGCCTTGCCACAGCAAACATTGCTATAGAGGGCAATTTGACAAATGAGCTCAGCGATTTGTTGAACAAATACAATATCAAAGGCTTATTGACACAGCAGCAGTGGCAGAAAGAAGGAAATATCTGCAACCCTGTTCATTTAATTCAAAGAACCGTATGTTAATATACTTTTAAAAGTTTATTGGCAACTTATTACATTTCATATATCTTTAGATAAATACTCAATTGGCACAAAAAACTTTTACTAAAGTTGACCAATGGAAAAGTACTCCTGCTCATTAAAAAAAGAACAACAAAAAAAGACTAGAATTACAACTAGAATCCTTATTTGAAACAATAACAAACCGGACACCCTGCCTCTGTTTTGGTTAGGGCTGAGGGATAGGCCTAGAGAAATGTAACTAATCTCAAATTCATAGATGGAGCTAAAGATGCAAGGACTGACCATGCAGGGAAATAGAACAATCCTAAAGTGCTTGAAAGGCATCATATAAATGAGGAAGGCACTCCTCAGTAATAGAACATACATTCCTAATCTAAAATACAAATTAGACTTCATAAAAGCTTGAACGTTTCAATATGAACTAACATTCCCCTACCAACCTAAAAATATAACAAAGCAATGCAACAAGCAATACTCTTAGGAATCAAATAGTGACTAAACCCCTACCCTTCATACTGTAAATACATACACTACCGGTCAAAGGTTTTAGAACACCTACTTATTCAAGGGTTTTTCTTTATTTTTTTTTACATTGTAGAATAATAGTGAAGATATCAAAACTATGTAAGGGGCGGCAGGTAGCTTAGTGGGTAAGAGCGTTGTACCAGTAACCGAAAGGTCGCTGGTTCTAATCCCCGAGCCAACTAGGTGAAAAATCTGTCGATGTGCCCTTGAGCAAGGCACTTAACCCTAATTGCTCATATAAGTCGCTCTGGATAAGAGCGTCTGCTAAATGACTAAAATGTAATGTAAATGTATGAAATAACACATATGGAATCATGTAGTAACCAAAAAAGTGTTAAACAAATGAAAATATATTTGAGATTCTTCAAACAGCCACCCTTTGCCTTGATGACAGCTTTGCACACTCTTGGCATTCTCTCAACCAGCTTCACCTGGAATGCTTTTCCAACAGTCTTGAAGGAGTTCCCACATATGCTGAGCACTTGTTGGCTGCTTTTCCTTCACTCTGCCGTCCGACTCATTCCAAACCATCTCATTTGGGTTGAGGTCGGGGGATTGTGGAGGCCAGGTCATCTGATGCAGCATTCCATCACTCTCCTTCTTGGTAAAATAGCCCTTACACAGCCTGGAGGTGTGTTGGGTCATTGTCCTGTTGAAAAACAAATGATAGTCCCACTAAGCCCAAACCAGATGGGATGGCGTATCGCTGCAGAATACTGTGGTAGCCATGCTGGGTAAGTGTGCCTTGAATTCTAAATAAATCACAGATAGTGTCACCAGCAAAGCACCCCCACACCATAACACCTCCTCCTCTATGCTTTACGGTGGGAAATACACATGCAGAGATCATCCGTTCACCCACCCCGCGTCTCACAATGACACGGCGGTTGGAACACATTTCCACCAGTCTAATGTCCATTGCTCGTGTTTCTTGACCCAAGCAAGTCTCTTCTTCTTATTGGTGTCCTTTAGTAGTGGTTTCTTTGCAGAAATTCGACCATGAAGGTCTGATTCACACAGTCCCCTCTGAACAGTTGATGTTGAGATGTGTCTGTGACTTGAACTCTGTGAAGCATTTATTTGGGCTGCAATTTCTGAGGCTGGTAACTCTAATGAACTTATCCTCTGCAGCAGAGGAAACTCTGGGTCTTCCATTCCTGTGGCAATCCTCATGAGAACCAGTTTCATCATAGCGCTTGATGGTTTTTGCGACTGTACTTGAAGAAACTTTAAAAGTTCTTGAAATTTTCCATATTGACTGACCTTCATGTCTTAAAGTAATGATGGACAGTTGTTTCTCTTTGCTTATTTGAGCTGTTCTTGCCATAATATGGACTTGGTCTTTTACAAAATAGGGCTATCGTCTGTATACCACCCCTACCTTGCCACAACACAACGGATTGGCTCAAATGCATTAAGAAGGAAAGAAATTCCACAAATTAACTTTTAACAAGGCACACCTGTTAATTGAAATGCATTCTAGGTGACTACCTCATGAAGCTGGTCGAAAGAATGCCAAGAGTGTGCAAAGCTGTCATCAAGGCAAAGAGTGGCTATTTGAAAAATATATTTTGATTTGTTTAACACTTTTTTGGTTACTACATGATTCCATGTGTTATTTCATAGTTTTGATGCCCACTATTATTCTACAATGTAGAAAATAGTAAAAATTAAGAAAAACCCTTGAATGAGTAGGTGTTCTAAAACTTTTGACCGGTAGTGTAGCCTATCAAAAATCTAAATAATCAAAATAAATGTGGCTCTTAGGAAAAGATTGTTAGCATGATCCCTTCAATAATGTGCATGAGAATGTATTTGTAACATTTTGTAACCTCATTTCATAATTCGCATCTCTGAACAGTTTCCCGCCTCTATGAACAAACAGCTTTAGCTCACAACCCTTACTGTTCATAAAGTACTGTAGATAGTGTTGTCAAGACAGGCTCAATGCACACAACTACAATTACAAAATGTGGAAATGGGCTTGTCGTACAACATATAATTTCCCCCGATATTACAGAGAGAAAAGTTTTAATAACAATTCTTCTCCCTAGCCAGTGATGACTGGTGATGTCATCTTTTAACCTGCCCATGCACAGTCTATGTAAAACAAAAGTTTCATGCATTGGTGCTTGTGCCATCAAAGAGAGACATATGAATCAGATCCTCAGAGTTCCGGATTCTAGTATTTTTTATTCTGACAGGATAGTTTGTGTAGTTGTAGAGATGGGTTGGAATGAAATACAGTTAGGCTTTGCTGGTCTTATGGCTGTTATCTGAAGTATTGCTGTTATCAACAATGCTTTTGCTGTCAGAAGTTTTATAATTGTCTGCATCATCATCACTGTCCAGCTTTTTTCTATTATTGGTACTGTCTGGGGTGTTGGTGTCATTGTTGGTCTTAATGCTGGTGTCATTGGTGTTGTCTGGATTTGTGGACTGCAGCTCAACCCGTATGCAATTAAGCTCCACCAGTCCATCATGCAGCTGGGTCGCCACCTCCCTGATCTTGGCAGCAAACTCAGACTTGGCTCCCTTCTTCAGCTCCTTGGAGTCCTTCGCCACAAAGTAGATGTCCATGCCCACAAAGAGGCCGGTGAGCACTCCGGTGGCCATGCTGGCAATCTGGACAGCTCTGGCCGCGGTGCTGCCAGCCACGTTGGCTATCTGCACCACACGCATGATCTCGTTGGCGTTGATGAGGATGGCCTTCCCAGCCATGGCACCGTCCTCATAGATGTTGTTGAGGCCCGGGAAGTCACGGTTGTACGCGTGCTTCTTCATCTTCAGCAGGTCGAACCTGCGCAAGCTCTCAATCCCCTGCTTGATGAACAGCATGCACTTGTTGATGTCGGTCATCTTCTCCTGGTAGTCCACCACGATGGCCTCCACCTTCTTACGGTCCATGGAGTTGTTGACCGTGTTGGAGAGTCCGGCTCCGGCTGAGGTCAGGCCGCCCGCTGTGGCCACGCTCAGTCCCACCGCCGTGACGATCAGGGAGGCTCCCATGGTGACAGGGGCCAGGGCGAGGCCTACAATGGTACACACGCCTCCTACAGCGCTGGTGGAGCCGCCAGTGATTTGGGCGATCTTGGTCTTCTTGTTGAAGCAGTCGAGGGCGTCTGCAATGCTGTTCAGGTTAATGACGTGCTGCCATAGGCTCTCTGCACGCTCTGAGAACAGCTTGTTGAACACACGTATACCTTTCTGCACCTTCTCAGCTGTCACTGCAAATGCCCTGGAAAACAAGTTCATATAATCATCATCATCAACACTTACTACAGTGTGAATTACCTGTTTACCCAGGGGCTTTATAACAAGGCTCTTCTGTACGTGTGTGCATGTACACAAAATGAGACCCAACTATAGCATCATTTACTTGGCCTCCTCTTTTTCAGTCAAGTCATCATCTTGAGGCATGTCTTCCCACTCTGTAGCAAAAGAAAAAGGGCATCATTTGGATGAAGTGTGTGTGTGTGTGTGTGTGTGTGTGTGTGTGTGTGTGTTGGACTCACGCTCCACTGTGCCCCACCACTCCATCAGGCCATACATATCCTGCTGAGAGACATTTCTCTAAGTCATCTTTGAATCACCACTTTAGAAAGTCATACTTTTCAATCAAAACTCTATTTCAATCAAATGCAAAACTCGATGGCAGTTAGCAGTTAGTGAGTGGAAACCAAGTTTGAAAAGTCATCTTAAGAGTACAGATTGACATTATTAACATTGTTTACAGCAACCAACCTGCTCCTCTGGCTCTGCTGGATTAATACGGAGTTCCTCCAATTGGTCGAATAAAGATTTATTTCCACCATCATTCTGAGATAGGAAGGGGGGTGATGAATACATGCTGTTATGTAGGTCTGTCTATACATTCTACACAGTAAAGAAACATAGAATATGTCTTGGCAAAACAATGTTTGTCATGCCAGATTCACAGGCCAAAAATGAAAATAGAAAATGTGTGGACAATTTCAGATTTCATGAGCAGACTGACAAAGAGGGAAATCGCACATATTAGCTCTGCTGTTTTGCAGAAGTGGGACATTAAAATATTCCTGGGTTCAAAGAACAAGGAAGCAGGGGAACAAGTTTGGGCACATAGCAATCTAATCTAATCCGCAGTACAAAGGAACGAGCACAACAATCTGGAAGTGGTGGTGTGGGTGGCGGTTTGGTAGGTAGAGAAATAAATAAAAAGAACAGGAGAGAAAAAAACACCACTTGAACATAATGTTCTTAGTTAGGAGTCAAAGAGCTAGAAAAAGGACCTAATAGACCGGCCAATGTAACGGCCATTTTGCAATCCTGGACCACTTTTCAGTCTGTCAGCCGTGGCAGTCAAGCCTTCAGATACAAAAACAAAACCTAGGTATCCATTACAATGGTACCGGTATGTGGAAGAACAGTGTTAGTAGGACAATCATGGAGCAGAGCTACCTCTTTTGAGTCACTGCCTGTAGCTCCCTGCTGGGTTTCACCCTTCTTCTGCATGGCTTTACCCTGAAACAGACACTCAGTTAAAAAGGTGGAATCCATAGCGGTGAAACTGCCACGTACGTTTGCTATATTACAACAACAAAGACGTTACTTCAAACAACAAACTTGGACATCATTGCACGCGCGATAGAACCATGATGCTGGATGCTCATTTCCTCAAAACAAAAACTATAACAAATACGCTTAGGGGGGCAAGTGGCGCTGTTTCGCCTATCGCGGATCTCAGCTTTAAATCAAATATACAACTTTTACTCTACAGTATTATACAGTTATCCCACAACGCAACCATAACATACATATTGTAAACCCAGACACAAACTATGGTTAACACCTGGAGGAAGTTAAATGTAATGTACACAATATGATGGGAGATCAACAGATACAGTCGTATGAAAAAGTTTGGGCACCCCTCTGAGGCTGCATAATAATTTACTCTGTCGTCACAGAAAATGATCACAGTGGCATGCCATTCATTTTCTAATAAAAGCTGAGTACTGGGGTATTGTCCAGACAAATATTTTTAGTGTAGCAATATTAAGTTGTATGAAATTAAATCAGATGTGAAAAATAGACTATGCAAAAATGTGGGCACCCTTGTCATTCTGTTGATTTGAATACCTGTAACTACTTAGCACTGATTAATTGGAACACACAATTGGTTTGGTGAGCTCATTAAGCCTTGAACTTCATAGACAAGTGCATCCAATCATGAGAAAAGGTATTTAAGTTGGCCAATTGCAAGTTGTTGTTCTCTTTGACTCTCCTCTGAAGAGTGGCAACATGGGGGCCTCAAAACAACTCTCAAATGACCTGAAAACAAAGATTGTTCAACATTATGGTTTAGGGGAAGGCTACAAAAAGCTATCGCAGAGATGTAAGCTGTCCACTGTGAGGAACATAGTGAGGAAATGGAAGACCACAGGCACAGTTCTTGTTAAGGCCAGAAGTGGCAGGCCAAGTACAATATCGGAGAGGCAAAGGCGAAGGATGGTGAGAACGGTCAAAAACAGCCCACAGACCACCTCCAAACTGTCTCTGGAAGCAACGTCAGCACAAGAACTGTTCGTCAGGAGCTTCATGAAATGGGTTTCCATGGACGAGCAGCCGCACACAAGCCACCTGCAGATGGTGTCACTGTGCAACGTTCAACACTTTGCACAAGGAGAAGCTGTACGGGAGAGTGATGCGGAAGAAGCCTTTTCTGCACACACGCCACAAACAGAGTCGCTTGAGGTATGCAAACGCACATTTGGACAAGCCAGCTTCATTTTGGAATAAGGTGCTGTGGACTGATGAAACAAAGATTGAGTTATTTGGTCATAACAAGGGGCATTATGCATGGCGGCAAAAGAAAACAGCGTTCCAAGAATAACACTTGCTACCCACAGTAAAATTTGGTGGGGGGTTCCATCATGCTGTGTGGCCAGTGCCGGTACTGGGAATCTTGTTAAAGTTGAGGGTCGCATGGATTCCACTCAATATCAGCAGATTCTTGGGAATAATGTTGAAGAATCAGTCACAAAGTTGAAGTTACGCCGGGGCTGGATATTTCAACAAGACAATGACCCAAAACACTGCTCAAAATCTACCCGGGCATTTATGCAGAGGAACAAGTACAATGTTCTGGAATGGCCATCCCAGTCCCCAGACCTGAATATCATTGAGAATCTGTGGGATGATTTGAAGCGGGCTGTCCATGCTCGGCAACCATCAAACCTAACTGAACTGGAGATGTTTTGTGAGGAGGAATGGTCCAAAATACCTTCATCCAGAATCCAGACACTCATTAGAGGCTATAGGAAGCGTCTAGAGGCTGTTATTTTAGCAAAAGGAGGCTCTACTAAATATTGATGTGATTTTTCTGTTGGGGTGCCCAAATGTATGCACCTGTCTAATTTCGTTTTTGATGCACATTGCACATTTTCTGTTAATCCAATAAACCTAATTTCACTACTGAAATGTTACTGTGTCCATCAGTTATTTGATAGATCAAAATGAAATTGCTGATCCAAACACCCAATTATTTATAAATGGAAATTGTCACGGGTGCCCAAACTTTTTCATACGACTGTACATATGAAAATAGAGGTTTGTATGTTACCTTGCCTCCAGCACCGTGTGGCATGAACGGATTGTGTCTCTTAGGTTTTTTAATCTTTGCCTAAGAACAATAGAATAAAAAGTACACATTAATGCAAGGGGAAGTGAGAAACCTTGTGAGAAAATCTGGAAAGTACCAGCATTTTACAATGGAATAATAACCAACTAAATTAAAGCGAAACCCTGATATTTGCATGGCCATAGTAAGGAACACTGGTCTAGTGGAAGCTGTGCTATCCGTAGGGTTAACCACTACCTCTCTGTCCTTGTCTTCTCCCTCCTCCTTCTCCCCAGTGAGGAGCGATTCACCCTCTTTAAGGCATTCATCAGATTGGTCCTGAAATAACCAACAAACAAATGTCATTCCGATAGATTGTCAGGCGAAATCATATTACAGAAAATATGACAGAGTGTGTGATGTGTGTGGGCTTGTATTACTATCATCGTAGGTACTGGAAATACCAACAAAGTTAGTAAAACAAAAAATTCTCCCTTTTGGGGACATTTCCCAGGTTTCCACGAGGACAAAGGCTATTTTAGGCTTAGGGCTTAGGTTTAGGGTTACAATTAGGGTTAGGGTTAGTGTAGAATAGTGGACCCAGAGTAGCCAAGGGAGGTGATAGGTGGGAATGAGGAGGAGCCATGGTTGTAGAAAAATAGTACTTGATTTATTGCAGATGAACGATTTTAGGAAACATGGCTTGGCTTGACAAACAGTTGTCCATAGCAGCAACATTCAGGATACGAAAACTGACAAGGATGATGGCGAGTCTAAAGCTCAGCCCCTCAATAGGGTTTCTACTGCAGCTAAAACGAGGCCTAAATGTTAAACAGCATAACTAGGGATTACCCCTTTTCTAGCTCTAAACAGAGCCTTACTCTCCCCCTTACTGGGACTAAAGAGAGTCTACCAGGACAGCTAAACTCAACTGACTGTACAGGATGTAACAAACAAACTGCTAAGGAGCATATTGTAAAATGGTGTTCTAACCAAGTTGAGAGAAAAGAACAGCATTTGCACATAAACTTTGCCCATAACGATTAACCAATGCGAATGTACTGTACATTTAATTAGCTGAATGTTACTTTGTTAATTAGACCGGGCAATACTATGGAAAACATGATTTAAGTTAATTGCATTCATTAGTTTAAATTACCATATTTAGTCAACTACACTTTAGTTTCAAAGACAGAGCTACATTAAATAGAACATGATTAGAACTACTAATCAGGGAGACTGAAAGCATGGGTGAACTACGCACTAATTATCTAACCCACCACACCTGTCTTAAACCAGCGCAATCAACTCGTTAGCAAATAATTAAGGTCAGGCACACCTAAACTGGTGGATAACTACGGTATGCATGGCAATGGACTAGTGCACTTTATCCAAACCACACATGTATATACTTAAGCATTTTAGATAATATTAACTTCATGAAATACATTTAAAAGTGGTGATGAGGCCAGTCAAAGGCTGCCTCATCACAGTTAGAATTAGAGTTACGAGTTAGGGTTAGGGGTTAAGGAAAATAGGATTTTGAATGGAAATACATTGTAGGTTCCGACAAGGATAGTTGTGTGTGTACCTGATTGTCTTTTTGAATTTTTTGCTGACCACGTCTGGCTGGTCTGTTCATTTCCTGGAATAAGAAGACCAAATCCTCCTATACTGCTGCATTTAGACAGGCAACCCAATTCTGATATTTTTTCCACTAATTGGTCTTTTGACCAATCACATCAGATCTTTTCACATCAGACCTTTTTCAGATCTGAATGGTCAAAAGACCAGAGGCAATTAGTGAAAAAAAGATCAGAATTGGGCTGCCTGTCTAAACGCAGCCTATGAGCCACCATTACACAGGACAACTGATAGATACAGATAATTTAGATATGAATTTCAATCCTGATCAGTCAGAATACTCCTAGCCTACCTCTTCTGTTGGTCTGGGAGGAACCACTGGAGTTTCAGCAGTTTTCCCTGTTCTCTCTCTCAGGATCATATTCCTGTTAGCCTGAATTAGCTAGAAGGACAAATATAGTCACTCTAAGCTGTGCATTAATTTACAGAGATACCGGTACGCTACATATAGGGGGTTATTACACATACATCAACAAATTAACATGATTGGTGTAAACTGTACCTGATTGTCGCCCGTCTCTCTCTTCTTCAGTCGGTCATGTAAGGCTGTACCCTTCAGCTCCTATGGAGGAGAGGTGACAGACAACCTTAGCAGAGATATTATAAAATTAGACATACATACAGTTTGATCCATCTGCCTACCTCTTCAGTGGGTGTAGGAGGAACTGCCGGTGTTTCAGTTCTCTCCTTCCTCTCTCTCTGGATCAGATTGCTTTTGACCTGACAATGACATGCACAATCACTCACTGTTCTGGTCCTGCCTCTTTGTGGGAGATAGAGAGAAGCAAAGACTGGTGGGAATGTGTATGTGTGTGTGTCGTATAAATTATGTAACAAACTCATTGTTTTTTACCTTTGAATGTTTATATTGCCATGAGAAATATACTCTATCAAAGGTAAGTAATAGTATATATTCAGCATTGAGATTCCATATTGAAGAATTTAAGAGTACTGAAAGACATTCCACTAAAATGCTTACATCTTTGGCTTTGGAATGTTTTTCAGACGACGTGAGTTTGTCCCTTGATCCTGATGTGTCTTCAGTCCTCTCCTTATCCTGCGATTGAAGAAGGAATGTTATCAATCTCATCATCATCATCAATACCATTACTCGAAGCATCCAGAAGAGTGATAGCCTACTGGGTCATACAGTCTAGTCATTTGTATATAGTGATTGATTACCTGAGTTGAGGAGTTAAATGGATTCCTGAACATCTTCCCCATTATGCCACCCTAAAACAGAACAAGATTGAATAGCCATATAAACACGTATATCCTTCCCTCAAATCTGCATGGGTTTCTAAGCAAATAAGATACATCAATATTATTTATTATTATATATATTTAAATTATATAAAGGTACATTACATGACCAAAAGTATGTGGACACCTGCTCGTCAAACATCTCATACCAAAATCATGGGCATTAATATGGAATTGGTCCCCCATTTGCTGCTAGAACAGCCTCCACTCTTCTGTGTGGGGACTTGCTTCCATTCAGCCACAAGAGCATTAGTGAGGTCGGGCACTGATGTTGGGCTATTAGGCCTGGCTCGCAGTCGGCATTCCAATTCATCACAAAGGTGTTCAATGGGGTTGAGGTCAGGGCTTTGTGCAGTCCAGTCAAGTTCTTCCACACCGATCTCGACAAACCATTTCTGTATGGACCTCGCTTTGTGCATGGGGGCATTGTCATGCTGAAACAGGAAAGGGCCTTCCGCAAACTGTTGCCACATAGTTGGAAGCACAGAATCGTCTAGAATGTCATTGTATGCTGTAGTGTTAAGATTTCCCTTCACTGGAACTAAGGGGCCTAATCCGAATCATGAAAAACAGCCCCAGACCATTATTCCTCCTCCACCAAACTTTACAGTTGGCACAATGCATTCGGGCAGGTAGCGTTCTCCTGGCATCTGCCAAACCCAGATTTGTCTGTTGAACTGCCATATGGTGAAGCGTGATTCATCACTCCAGAGAACGTGTTTCCACTGCTCCAGGGTCCAATGGCGGTGAGCTTTACACCACTCCAGCCGACGCTTGGCATTGCGCATGGTGATCTTAGGCTTGTGTGCGGCTGCTCGTCCATGGAAACCCATTTCATGAAGCTCCTGACGAACAGTTCTTGTGCTGACGTTGCTTCCAGAGACAGTTTGGAACTCGGTAGTGAGTGTTGCTTCCGAGTGGCTGCCGAGTGGCGCAGTGGTCTAAGGCACAGCATCTCAGCGCTAGAGGCGTCACTACAGATCCTGGTTCGATTCCAGGCTGTATCACAACCCGGCCGTGATTGGGAGTCCCATAGGGTGGCGCGCAATTGGCCCAGCGTTGTCAGGGGTAGGCCGTCATTGTAAATAAGAATTTGTTCTTAACTGACTTGCCTAGTTAAATAAAGGTTAAATCAAAACAAATTGCAACTTAGGACAGTGCTACACGCTTCAGCACTTGGCGGTCCCATTCTGTGAGCTTGTGGCCTACCGCTGAGCCGTTGTCGCTCCTAGATGTTTCCACATCACAACACCAGCACTTACAGTTGACGGGGCAGCTCTAGCATGGCAGAAATTTGACGAACTGACTTGTTGGAAAGGTGTCATCCTACGACGGTGTCACGTTGAAAGTCACTGAGCTCTTCAGTAAGGCCATTCTACTGCAAATGTTTGTCTATGGAGATTGCATGGCTGTGTGCTCAGTTTTATACACCTGTCAGCAACAGCTGTGGCTGAAATAGTTGAATCGACTAATTTGAAGGGGTGTACACATACTTTTGTATATATAGTGTATGTAAGGACTGGTGTAGGTTGGTGGGCAGGTCTTTTCTGATAAACTGTCATTGCTGGCTGAGAGATCACTATTTGTAGACAGGTCGTCCTGACACAAGCAGAGAGAGAACAAGTACCTAAGACTTGACCTGAACACCAAGGTTGCCATATGAAAAAGAAATACTAAGTACATTTTGAGGACTGAAGTTCCGCAAACTGTTGCCACAAAGTTGGAAGCACAGAATCGTCTAGAATGTCATTGTTTGCTGTAGCGTTAAGATTTCCCTTCACTGGAACTAAGGGGCCTTAACCCAAACCATGAAAAACAGCCCCAGACCACTATTTCTCCTCCACCAAACTTTACAGTTGGCACTATGCATTCGGGCAGGTAGCGTTCTCCTGGCATCCGCCAAACCCAGATTCGCCAAACCCAGAGCGTCTGCTAAATGACTTAAATGTACATGTAAATGTACCAAAGATAGTACAAAAATAAACCCCATCAAAATCCTCAACTGCATGACTTCAAAGCGTTTGTCATAAAAGGTGAGTTTCTCCCTAGAGTCTGATAGGTCTTCATCCCTTTCCTTATCCTGCAATAAAGTATAAAATGTCATCACTCATCAACATCAAAAGCATCTAAAGGAGTGAAAGCCTTGTCCTTTTCATATAGTAGGGTGTCCAATCAAAAATGTATATTTAGACCAATGGGTATGTTAATTGTGTAGATCAGGGGTGTCAAACTCATTTTAGCTCAGGGGCCACATGGAGGAAATTCCCAAGTGGGCCGGACCAGTAAAATCATGGTATATATAACTTAAAAACAACAACTTCAGATTGTTTTCTTTGTTTTAATACTATCAACATAAAACATAAAGCTGGAGCCTGAGGACAGTGTGTCCAAAATAGTACAAGCACAACATCACTATTAATCATAAAACACCTGAAGTTTATTTGAAAATTCTAAAGAAAAAGAACACACAAACACACAATGCCTCAGTGATTCACATAACTGTTTCACAGATCACAGAACTATATCAGGGTGTCATTTCTCAGGCAGAAATGTAGATACAAATAATGAAATCCTGTTCCCCAAACAAGTGCAAGAACCACAGAGTCAAGAATAGGTTAAATATACAAATAAAATAAAATCAATTAAAAACAATAGCACATCAACATAAAAACATATAAACATAAAGCTGGAGCCTGAGGACAGTGTGTCCAAAAGCACAACATCACTATTAATCATAAAACACCTCAAGTTATTTGAAATTCTGAGGACAAACAACACACAAACACACAATGCCTCAGTGATTCACAGAAGTATATCACAGATCACAGAACTATATCAGGGTGTCTCATGCAGCACTTTAAGTGGGGTTGCATAGTTTATTTGACTCCTGATACCTGGCATCTTTTAGCTTTCACCAGCGCATCAATATCAGGCGTCACATCCTGAGTGGCAGCCAACTTCAGGATGTGATTCAAGTGCTTGTGCGTGAGCCTTGAGCGCAGCTTTGTTTTATTCATGACGTTATCCATCTTTAATGACTTGCAACACAAAGCCTCCTGGTGCAAAATACAGTGAAAAGTCCAAAAATCACGTCCTCCATTTGCAGATTGCACTTTCTCTCTGAACTTTGTCACAACGCCTGCTTTTTTCCCGATAATTGAGGGCGCACCATCTGTAGCCAGGCTGACAGCGCGGGACCAGTCCACTCCGACCCTGTCCAGCGCGCCGACGAGTGCAGTGAAAATATCAGCTGCTGTCGTTGTATCTGTCATGGGCACCAACTCCACGAACTCCTCGGTGACGGTCAATGTGTCATCAACTCCGCGGATGAAAATGGCCAGTTGTGCAACATCTGTAATGTCCGTGCTTTCATCAATTGCAACCGAAAACGCAATAAATGACTTTACTTTTTGCTTCAACTGGCTGTCCAAATCCACTGAAAGATCGGAAATCCTGTCTGCAACTGTGTTTCTTGTCAGGCTGATATTTGCAAAAGCCTGGTGATTTCAGGGCACACAATCTCTGCTGCCTTCATCATGCATGTTTTTACAAATTCACCCTCACTAAATGGTTTTGAAGCCACTGCGATTTCATTAGCAATGAGGTAGCTAGCTTTCACTGCAGCGTCACTGATGTCTCGGCTGTGAGTAAACACAGACTGCTGTTTCTTCAGACCCACCAACAGTTCATTCACCTTCTCTCTTCTCCACTGTCCTTGAAAGTTTTCATATTTGTCGGCATGAAGACTCACATAGTGGCGACAAAGGTTATATTCTTTCAGCACTGCAACATGCTGTGAACACACCAAACATACAGCTTTCCCATTCAATTCCGTGAATAAATAGAAGGATGACAATTTTTCTTGGAACACTCTGCACTCTGCATCCACTTTTCTCTTTTTTGACAGAGACATATCGGGGCAATGAGGGTGCCAAAGCACATAATGTTAAAAGTAGAAGCCGTAATAAATATTGCGGGCAAAACAAAGTAGCTCATCCGGACTGGCTGCACTTGCTTGACCTATTTGCTCTGCCCCGGTATTTACAGTTTGCTTGCTTAACACAATTGCTATTGCGCCATCCAGTGGACACAATTGGAACAGCAGTTTCTTTTATTGAAAAATTGCAGCTCATTTTTATACTTTACAAAATCATCTCGCGGGCCGGATTAAACCCGTTTGCGGGCCTGATCCGGCCCGCGGGCCGGATGTTTGACACCCCTGGTGTAGATACTCCTCTAAGAAAACCAATGGTCCAAACCTCATGTCTATATCATAATTTGTTCCAAAGTTATTGGAGGATGGCCACAATTAGGGTGACTAAATCAATGGAGGCCAGAAAAAAAGTTGTCAAAAATAAGGAAAATTGCACAGCATTATGTCAGCTAAAATTAAAACCTCCAAGCAGTCTTTGTAATTGTATTTTTTAAATCATCACGGAAAGTATTCAGACCCCTTCACCTTTTCCACATTCAAAATGTTTGTTACGTTACAGCCTTATTCCAAAATAGATTAAATAAAAACAAATCATCATCAATCTACACACAATTCCCCATAATTACAAAGCAAAAACAGGTTTTTTGAAATTTTAGCAAATTTATAAAAAATACAAAACAGAAATACCTTATTTACATAAGGATTCAGACCCTTTGCTATGACACTCTAAATTTAGCTCAGTTGCATCATGTTTCCATTGATCATCCCTCATGTTTCTACAACTTGATTGAAGTCCACCTGTGGTAAATTCAATTGATTGGACATGATTTGGAAAGGCACACACCTGTCTATATAAGGTCCCACAGTTGACAGTGTATGTCAGAGCAAAAACCAAGCCATGAGGTCGAAGGAATTGTCCGTAGAGCTCCGAGACAGGATTGTGTCGAGGCACAGATCTGGGGAAGGGTACCAAAAATGTATGCAGCATTGAAGGTCCCCAAGAACACAGTGGCCTCCACCATTCTTAAATGGAAAAAGTTTGGAACCACCAAGACTCTTCCTAGAGCTGGCCGCCCGGCGAAACTGAGCAATCGGGGGAGAAGGGCCTTGGTCAGGGAGGTGACCAAGAACCGATGGTCACTCTGACAGAGCTCCAGAGTTCCTCTGTGGAAAATGGGAGAACCTTCCAGAAGGACAACAATCGCTGCAGCACTCCACCAATCAGGCCTTTATGGTAGAGTGGCCAGACGGAAGCCACTCCTCAGTAAAAGGCACATGACAGCCCGCTTGGACTTTGCTAAAAGGCACCTGAAGGACTTTCAGACCATGAGAAACAAGATTTTCTGGTCTGATGAAACCAAGATAGAACTCTTTGGCCTGATTGCCAAGTGTCACGTCTGGAGGAAACCTGGCACCATCCCTACGGTGAAGCATGGTGGTGGCAGCATTATGCTGTGGGGATGTTTTTCAGTGGCAGGGACTGGGAGACTAGTCAGGATCGAGGGAAAGATGAACGGAGCAAAGTACAGAGAGATCCTTGATGAAAATTTGCTCCAGAGCGCTCAGGACCTCAGACTGGGGCGAAGGTTCACCTTACAACAGGACAATGACCCTAAGCACACAGCCAAGACAACGCAGGACTGGCTTCGGGACAAGTCTCTGAATGTCCTTGAGTGGCCCAGCCAGAGCCCGGACTTACAGTGGGGAGAACAAGTATTTGATACACTGCCGATTTTGCAGGTTTTCCTACTTACAAAGCATGTAGAGGTCTGTAATTATTATCATAGGTACACTTCAACTGTGAGAGATGGAGTCTAAAACAAAAATCCAGAAAATAACATTGTATGATTTTTAAGTAATGAATTTGCTTTTTATTGCATGACATAAGTATTTGATACATCAGAAAAGCAGAACTTAATATTTGGTACAGAAACCTTTGTTTGCAATTACAGAGATCATACGTTTCCTGTAGGTCTTGACCAGGTTTGCACACACTGCAGCAGGGATTTTGGCCCACTCCTCCATACAGACCTTCTCCAGATCCTTCAGGTTTTGGGGCTGTCGCTGGGCAATACAGACTTTCAGCTCCCTCCAAAGATTTTCTATTGGGTTCAGGTCTGGAGACTGGCTAGGCCACTCCAGGACCTTGAGATGCTTCTTACGGAGCCACTCCTTAGTTGCCCTGGCTGTGTGTTTCGGGTCGTTGTCATGCTGGAAGACCCAGCCACGACCCATCTTCAATGCTCTTACTGAGGGAAGGAGGTTGTTGGCCAAGATCTCTCGATACATGGCCCCTCCCATCCTCCCCTCAATACGGTGCAGTCGTCCTGTCCCCTTTGCAGAAAAGCATCCCCAAAGAATGATGTTTCCACCTCCATGCTTCACGGTTGGGATGGTGTTCTTGGGGTTGTACTCATCCTTCTTCTTCCTCCAAACACGGCGAGTGGAGTTTAGACCAAAAAGCTCTATTTTTGTCTCATCAGCCCACATGACCTTCTCCCATTCCTCCTCTGGATCATCCAGATGGTCATTGGCAAAGTTCAGACGGGCCTGGACATGCGCTGGCTTGAGCAGGGGGACCTTGCGTGCGCTGCAGGATTTTAATCCATGACAGCGTAGTGTGTTACTAATGGTTTTCTTTGAGACTGTGGTCCCAGCTCTCTTCAGGTCATTGACCAGGTCCTGCCGTGTAGTTCTGGGCTGATCCCTCACCTTCCTCATGATGATTGATGCCCCACGAGGTGAGATCTTGCATGGAGCCCCAGACCGAGGGTGATTGACCGTCATCTTGAACTTCTTCCATTTTATAATAATTGCGCCAACAGTTGTTGCCTTCTCACCAAGCTGCTTGCCTATTGTCCTGTAGCCCATCCCAGCCTTGTGCAGGTGTACAATTTTAACCCTGATATCCTTACACAGCGCTCTGGTCTTGGCCATTGTGGAGAGGTTGGAGTCTGTTTGATTGAGTGTGTGGACAGGTGTCTTTTATACAGGTAACGAGTTCAAACAGGTGCAGTTAATACAGGTAATGAGTGGAGAACAGGAGGGCTTCTTAAAGAAAAACTAACAGGTCTGTGAGAGCCGGAATTCAAACTGGTTGGTAGGTGATCAAATACTTATGTCATGCAATAAAATGCAAATGAATTACTTAAAAATCATACAATGTGATTTTCTGGATTGTTGTTTTAGATTCCGTCTCTCACAGTTGAAGTGTACCTATGATAAAAATTACAGACCTCTACATGCTTTGTAAGTAGGAAAACCTGCAAAATCGGCAGTGTATCAAATACTTGTTCTCCCCACTGTACATCTCTGGAGATACCTGAAAATAGCTGTGCAGTGACACTCCCCATCCAACCTGACTGAACTTGAGAGGATCTACAGAGAAGAATGGGAGAAACTCCCCAAATACAGGTGTGCCAAGCCTGTAGCGTCATACCCAAGAAGACTCAAGGATGTAATCGCTGCCAAAGGTGCTTCAACAAAGTACTGAGTAAAGGGTCTGAATACTTAAGTAAATGTGATATTTCTGTTTACTTATTTTTTATACATTTGCAAAAATTTATAAAAACCATTATGGGGTATTGTTTGTAGATTGATGAGGGAAAAAAACTATTTAATCAAGGCTGTAATGTAACAAAATGTGGAAATAGTGAAGGGGTCTGAATACTTTGCGAATGCACTGTATGTCTAATAAATCACTGTATTTGTTTATTTAATTAAAATAATTCCAAAATATATTTGCAATATTTTATTTCCCTGAGCCTCCTTTGGCCCTTGAAATGCTCAATTTGATTGTGTGGGCATTAGGAAACTAATTTGAAGACATTTACATACACAGCCCTGATAGGATGGTCTAGAGCCCATCCCCTTACCCAGACGAACAGTCATTGGTCTATTATAATCAGATCACATTACTTTCCCGTTGAACTCGTAATCTTTCTTCTCAAATCCGCAGGACATAAAACAACATAGAGATCAGATATCGATTTTGAGACATGACATGTAGTATTTTCATATTTTAGTATACACTTTTCATATTAATGCAAAATTCCTGTTGTTCTTTTGAAGATTTCTCACAAAAACAAGTGTATCTCAGTGAAATGTCAATGGAGCACTGAGCGTTCCGCAAGCTTTTTATTTTAAAATGCTTTTACATTTAATTCAGCTTGTGTCAAGCTAATTTAGCTTTTTGTGACACGCTGAAAAACTTTGAAGACGACCACCACAACATGTAAAATCCTCAAAAATGTCTGCGAGAAAGCTGCACCGCTCTGTCAACAGAGCTTGGAGCTTATTAGGTTATGAAATCCTAATTTTGGGATATAATGTTAATGAAATGTTAGAGAAAGACCCCAATGAACTATTCAGAACATGAATAATCATATTTGTCTTGGAAAATGTATTTTATAACATAAGGAAGTAAAATATCATAAAAGCGTGGTTTCACCCGCTTTGGATAGAGTGGGTGGACACCCTACATATAGTAATGGACTAACTGAGTTGAAGAGTTAAATTGATTTTTTTTTATCTTCCCCATCTTTCCACCCTAAAAGACAATTATACAGAGAATTAGTGCAGGTACAAGCAAATAGGATAAATCAACGTTAAGTAGAAATTATAAAAGCAATATGAGGACTGGGATAAGTTTATGGGCAAGACTCGCCTTTGAGGTATTTTCCGAAAGACTGTCAGTGCTGGCTGAGAGACCACTGTGAGTAGATAGGTCATACAGATTATCCTAAAAGACACAAAGATGATAACATGCGTTTTAGATTTACCTGTGACTATCAATGTTGCCATGTTAAAAACAATAGTATTCCATTACAAGGTTGTTTACTTTTTCTGTTAGGTAAAGTATACCTCTGAAGAGACACCACACTCACCTGAGAATGTGTCCTAGTCCCCAGGGGTATGGGGGATTTTCTAAACATTCCACTGAACACTCCTCCCTTCTCCTGTAAAACAAGGGCAGGTCAGTGGGGATCCTACTGTATACCATTGGAAATAGTCCAATTAGGAATCTGTTGACTGAAGACTAACCTTAGTGTTGATGTTGTCAACGAGACTGTAATTACTGCCTCGCCTGGATGAAAGCTCACCGTCTATTGACAAATGATCCTGAGACACAGTAAAGTGTTATAAAAATACTTCTGCATATAAACATTTTTCATACAATATCCTCCAAATACTGAAAAATATCAGTTATGATAATATACACTGAGTATACAAAACCTTAAGGACACCTGCTCTTTCCATGACATAGACTGACCAGGTGAATCCAGGTGAAAACTACTGTATGATCCCTTATTGATGTCACTTGTTAAATCCACTTCAATCAGTGTAGACAGGTTAAACAATTATTTCTAAGCCTTGAGACATGGACACACACACCTGAGCATGTGTTACATCTTGGGAAGGCTTGGGAGACGTCTTTAAAATGCCTTTTTCCTGAAAAAACAACAACTAACAAAGTAGGAGGTAAGTTGATAATTATGCCCATTGATCAATGAGCATTGATGAAAGTCTCCCCCAGCCTCATACTCACCTTAGTGTTGTTGTCATTGCTGGCTGAGAGCTCAGTGTTTACAGACAAATGATCCTATCAATAGGATGTATGTTAAGTCAATACAGTCAGACTTCATCAAATCAAGATGTAGATACATTGTAATAGTTTAATATATTGACATCACTATCACCTGCACAGGTACTGAGCGTTCTGCTGGTTTAGAGGATCTTTTGAACATCCCACTGAATTTTCCTCCTTTTTTCTGGGAAAGAGTGGGGGAAGAGTAGAAATCAATGACTGTATATATGAATGGAGAAAGCCATCGATCACGTGACACCATTCATTCCTATGCGAAGACTCAATGGCTGCAGTCTAAACACGTTAATTTTACCCCCTCAGCCGTCGCGCTAGCTACTTTCCCTCAGGGGGATCGCTGTCGAAACCGGATGCAGTTTGATTGCCATCTTAAGTGGAGGTCCAATTCACAAACGTTGCCCCCTCGGCCCACAGAGGGAGCGAGTGAAGAACTTTGATCATTTGTGGGGTTGATATGACTCACAGTTTAACCCTCCCGTTGTCCTAGGGTCAAAATGACCCGCCACTGTGTTGAACCAACTTTATTACATTTTTAAATATAAAAATTAAATAAAGTTGGTTCAACACAGTGGCGGGTAATTTTGACCCTAGGACAACGGGAGGGTTAATGCAAACAGTAGTCACGTGTCAAACTCCGGTGCCCACGAAGTGTGAAATTTAATCAACACCGCTGCATTTTCAGCATGTGAGACATAATTATGAAGCTAGCTTGCTAATATATATATATATATATATATATATAGATTACATTGATTTTAGCGTTGGCAAATGAGAATTATGCTCAAATTGGCTTAGTCTCGTAGTGAGGAATTTATAAAAAGTAGCTAGCTTCATAAACATATCTTGGGGAATTCTGAAATGTATTGGAATAAATTACCCAAACTATAAAACTAGCTAGCCAGCTATTGGTAACTGTAGCTAGCTACCTGACAGGAGTGATAGCTAGCTACGTTAGCTTGCTAGGTACATTAATAGCTTTAGGTTGGTTGTTTTTAAGCTCAGCTTCAAGATTTCCACCAAGGACATTGCCTCTCCGATCATCAATCTCCCTCTCTTGGGCAAGGGACATTTGAAGTACACTCGGATGTGACGCTGTAAAATGTCATTCAGGGGCCGAGGGCTATCTACTTTGCGTTTGGACTGCAGCCAATAGCGGATTGAAGCAAAATGAGGTCGTAGAGCACGGCGCTTGTAACGCCAGGGTAGTGGGTTCGATCACCGGGACCACCCATACACACAAAAAATGTTATGCATGCATGACTGTAAGTCGCTTTGGATAAAAGCGTCTGCTAAATGGCATATTAAGATGGCGTCTCATGGAGACATAACATGCTCAGTTTGAGCTACTCCAGGAAGTGACGTTGCAGGCTAGCTCAGTGCTGCCCCCTCTCATTGAATAACTCAAGTTGAAGACCGACCGGGGTACTGCAGGCTGCCATTAGCAACTAAATTATCCTTATAACTTCATCTGTGTGCAATTTTAAAATAATCAGTTCAAGGACATACATCTGGTGTATTACAAGCAATTATTGGTACCATGATTGTTTTGATATATTTTTTTTTCTCACGAAGATTGCCATTTTTCCATTCACTATAATGAGGGATCCTGTTTTCCGCTAACAATACCTGCAGTACCGCGGTCGGCCTTCAACTTCCATGGCTTCAATGAGAGGGGGCAGTAGTTGTCCCCTGGTAGAAATATACATTGTGTCAGCATTTTTTAGGAAATCATGATGAAAGTGGACATTTTGGGCTGTTTTTAGACCTATACATGCCTCCTGTAAGACCCTATGATCTTTGAACCTTACTGTACATGATACAAACAACATCTTGGTGTCATTATACTCCTTATAGTGTGCTCTAAAATATGGAGTATGTCTTGATTCTGAAATAAAAAAATTCACATTCATTTATTAAACATAAAAAATATTAATATCTCAAATGTACTATTTTTTTGTGTTCATTTTAAGACATTGTTTGGAACAATATACTCTACAAGAGTTGGCTCTTGGCTAATTCTGAAGGTATGATACATTTTATGAGCACCACCAACACATTGAATGGGAAAATGGATTCAAAGGGAACTCCCTCTGCTTGTGATTTGCTGAATGTGCAATTCTAAAGGAGGGCTGTGATTGGTTAATGACCTATAGGGCTCTATTTTAACAACCCTAACATAATGGTAAATCTAACCACTGGCGGTAGCGCTATAGGTCCGGGGGTGTGTCAGAAATATTTTTGCTAATTTCACAGCCATTATTATGAGCGCAATAGCTGGCTGTGGTGCAAAAGCTCTGGGTTTTGATTAATAAACAAGTTGTAGGTGTGAGGAGGACTTGGCCACTCACTGGCCAATCAAGGCGTTCCATGGCTTAATAATGCATGTGTTTGTATCAAGTTCTGTAGGTTATTGACAGTCTTTGCGTTGTCATCAACTCCAATTTGGCTGGGGGCACGGAATATTCTCGTCCTAGTCCATTGTGGTTTGATACTACAGTCTATTAAATCACATAGGCTACAGTAACGAGTGAGAGCAACAGTAAAAAAAAAACATCCAGTGTTTGCTCAATATGTTTGGAGTGTTGACAGTTAACATTATTGTAATTGATTTCAACAATAATAAACCTTTACACATCGCACTTCTCCTCAAATAAAAAATACTAGGCTCCCGTAAATTGTATTGTATGTGTGAGGCATGTTCTCAATAAGCAAAATATAGTAGGCCTACCGTTGATATGCCGTTTAGGACTGAACATTTTGAAAAGCCTATGTTTGGACAAGCGTGTCTTTGGTAACCCAGACAAGAGGCGCTCTTTGGAAATGGGGATGGATTCAAGCCGAATGGAGTATGCACTGCAGGTAGGCCTATGTGAATTGTCAATAATGCAAAAGTATGTCTGCAAAAGCCTCACGAGTAGACCATTTAAAAACCTTTTATGGATCGGCTATTTGGCTAATGCATGGCTAGGATAAGAAAGACACCAGACGCATTGCTGTTTAACCAGCTTTCGTTATAGTGGGATAAGGGTAGCCTACTAACGGCTTGTTTTGTAATCAAACGAAATGGAAAACAAACAATTGTTACAGGAAAATAACTTCAATGTTTCCAAATACCATTGTCCCCAGATGATATCATATCTCGTCCCATGATGGGCATATAGCCTACATCAGGAGTGTCAAACTCATTCCATGGAGGGCCTAGTGTCTGTGGGTTTTTGGCTAGCCCTAGACAACGAGGTGAGGGGAGTTCCTTACTAATTAGTGACCTTAATTCATCAATCAAGTACAAGGGAGGAGCGACAACCCGCAGACACTCGGGCCCTAGGTGGAATGAGTTTGACACTTGTGGCCAACATGGAGGTTTTTACACACATCCTACAATAATGTAATAGCCTACATAGATAAAAAGGTGATGTTTGGCTGCTGCAAAACTTGATCTTTTAATAAAGCTTTGGTGATTAAGATTTCTTTCAAAGCTGTATACTGAGCTAAACACTTTATTGTTGATAGTCTTGACTACTTGGCGAATGGATTGGCCATGACCAAAAAAAACAGCCTTCATTGAGAGGTGGGGAGGCTATGCTTGGTTTTTAATCAAATTAAACGAAATGAGAAATGTTTTATGTTTACGGGCATAAAAAAGCACATCTCTCCATGTGCATATGGGCACTATGCGTCACGTCTGTAAAGGTTGCGCTTCCGTTGTCAAAATCCATGCCATAACCAACCACGTTACCGCTAAGACCATCTTTCGGTTGGTTTTAAATATCCCCACCAGGAATACTGAAATTGGAACTTTGGCACACGTTTTTGAGGACACACCTCAGATATTGCCACCCCTCTCACCTCAGCGCAAGTGAGCTCATATAAAACAGGTACATTATCAATCCTGGCGCTAGGGTTTGAAAATATACTGAACAAAAACATAAACGCAACATGCAACATTTTCAAAGATTTTACTGAGTTACAGTTCATATAAGGAAATCGGTCAATTGAAATAAATTCATTAGGCCCTAATCTATGGATATTCACATGACTGTGAATACAGATATGCATCTGTTGGTCACAGATATAGTACCTTTAAAAAAAAAGTAGGGGCGTGGAAACCAGTCAGTATCTGGTGTGACCACCAGGGACGGCTTGTTCAATAGGGCGATATGGGCGACGCACTGCCAAACGGGAAAAGGAAGGGATTTTTTTTCTAATCAATTATATCACGGCAACAGCAGTTATCAGTGTTCACGTCTGATCTGCCAGCCACTAAATGTCAAATCAGGCTAAAGTCGTGCTTCAAATGGCCCCGCCCGTTTTTTGGGCGATTTCAGTCAGGTTGAAAATCGCCCAGAAGTCTCTCATAGCCTGTCATGTAAAATCTATTTTTTTCACATTTCAAAGCTTTCAATACATTCTCTATGGGTGTCTGTGGGCATGCACTTACCCGCTTTCGTCATACGTGACGTAACGTTGAACGTAACTAAGACAATGGCGGCTAGCAGCGTCTATGTTGCGACCTGCAGTGTGGCGTTATTTTATGTTTTTAATTTGTAGACTTAGTTTACAAACATTCTGCAAACATTCTGCTTTGGACTGATCTTCGGTTTTGGACTGATCTTGTTGATCGTGTACATACCCGCTACGAACGGACTAAATAATGAAAACGCTGCTGGCAGCGGAATCCCAATACAGCTGGGAGACTTGGCTGGATGACAGAGTCCCGGACAGAGAGGTGGAGCCGGCCGGCTTCACCCTGGTCAGAGCGGACCGCGATCCTGGTAAGAGAGCGACTCTGTACCCCGACATTGAACTGCTTTCTGTGTCATTGAACCTTACTATTGTTGATAAAACAAGTTTACTGGAGAACGGAG